AAATTTTCATTTTTAAAACAATAATGCATACAAACGAGTTATTCCAAAACTCATCAAGGTGAACATATTATATATAAATATCAGAGTAAATATCATCAATTCATAGTGTGGAAAAACTCTGGGGGATGCTATGCAGTCACGCCGGACCCTTTCATTTCAAACCGGAAGTACCTGAAACCATAAACATAAACCGTAAGCATAAAGCTTAGTGAGTTTCCCAAAATACCACATACCATACATATCCTTGGGTCTAACCCTGGGGGATACTCCAGCCCAATAAGCAAATATGGGCCTCGCCCTGGGGTATATTTCAACCCAATAAACAAATATGGACCCCGCCCTGGGTATATTTCAACCCAATCATACAGTAGTGGGCCCCGCCCTGAGGTTTATTTTAACCCGAGCATACAACATCTACAGGCTACATAACAACAATCATATCATGCAAGAGTCACAAAGACAACTAGCATATAACAGGTTATAGTGGGTCGACATTGGTGCCTTCGACCCACGGGTACAGTGAGGACACTCACCTCACAGACAGACAAAATAGCTGCAACCACACGCTGCTCCAAATACCAACTCTACTGATCACCTTTACAATAAATAATGACCAAAACTCAGACAACAGCTCAAAATACCCAAAATTCCCTTAGGTCAAACTTTGTTCAAAATCTAGGTCAAAGTCAAAAGTCAAAATTCAACCCAGCTAGTCGCCACATCGTGGTCTCCTTGGCCACGTTGTGGCCGCAAACCGACAAAACAAGCCGGTCTTGACCAAGTCACCACGTCGTGGTGACCTCAACCATGCTGTGGTGATGCGTCTGGACAGCTTAATCCATTAATTCCTTTTCCTTTAACTACAGAAACTCCAAGGTTCAGATCTGGTCCTTCCCATGGTCTTGATGGGTAAAGTTTCCAACTTTATCCCTCAAACCTTTCCATAAGCCAAAATCCCAACCCGAACCACTAAGGGTAACTTAATGCATCAAGATTCCTATTAAGCACCAAATCCTTAGAGTTGCACCTCCAAAGTTTCCAGAAAGATTTCACACTCCAAAGAGACCTTAAAAATCGTGGCTTTATGGACTTGCATGTCCAATACATGCCTTTTCCATTTTACGTCAAAAATAGGGTTTGATGACTAAAATCCCATGCATGACATCAAAACTTGATTATAATTCAAATCCAAGATACTAAATGCTCAAATAGATGTGGATATTCATAAAGTTGCAAACATTATGGGACCCCCCCCCCCCCCCCCCCCCCCGCCCACTTAAGTCCATCTAAAATCTTGGAAAAAGGGGACAAAAACAAGAGATCTAGCAACATGGCAAGAAAAGGTTGAGTCTTGGGCACTCACCAAGGTCCAAGAGATAAACTTAGCTGAAGAAATGATGATTGCTAAGTAACCACCTCACCAAGGGCTTCTTTTTCCTTCTAAAATCACCAAGAATGAGCTCACAACTTCAATGGAGGCTAGGGTTAGGGTTTCTGAGGTGAAAGGAGGTTTGGAGGCTAATGATGAACCCTAAAATGGGTTTAGAGATGTTCAAATACGAAGGGAACCCTAAAAGAGTTATGGGCTTTGGCTTGATCAACCGCCACGTCGTGGTGACCTACACCACGCTGTGGTGGTCCAAAAGTCATGCGACCAAATTTGACCTCGCCACGTCGTGGTGGTTCCTCCACCACGTCGTGGGCACCGCTAAAAATCACCAACCAACAAAAAAAATGAATCTCGCAAATCCAGGTGTTATAACACCAAGTGTGGAAATGAGCAACATCAAATAACATGTTATAACACTTCTTATTTTCTATTTCTTTTTTATTTTTTTCGATTTTTTAATTTCTATTTTTCCATTCTTTATTTATGTCATACTATTAATAAAAACATATAAATTAACAACACATGTAATTTAATTAAATCCCTAAGTTAAAAATAACATAAATAAAGAACGACATTACAAAAATAAATTGAATGGAAAAAATATGATAGTCCTAAATTTAAAAAACATAATAACGATACACTAGTCCTCGCCCAAATATTTCTTCTCGATCTTTTTCTTCATCTTTCAGAGCACTTGCACTTGTCTCGGTGCCATATTTTCCTCGATTGGCTGAAGAGTTGTCAAATCCTTCGTCATTCGATCTTCCTTCGCTTGTTGATGAAGAAACTTCAAAGTCTCAGGTTGCAATTCATATTTTTTAATTGCGATTTCGTTGTGGGCATCAAATTTCTTTTTCATTTCCGCGTGCTCTCGAATCCTACTTTCTCTTTCATATGCATGTTGTTGAGTACGTTTTGCTTTGTCGTGCCCTATCGTTCGTTGTGGCGGGAATATCTCTTCATTGTCGTCCGTGAGTTCATCGGTGTCGACGTTGAGGTCGATGTTCGTTCGTGCATCGGGATCGTCAACGGAACCCGAACCACGATACATCTTTGATGTACTCCGATGATGTTGGCGTCTTAAGCCATTTTGGATTCTCAAAATCTTCCAAATTTTGTCGTACTCGAAAACGTGACCCGTTTCGACATGATATTGCTCCATCGCGGCTCTAAACACATCGAAGTCGTTCGCACCACTTTGATTGTGTGAAGAAAGTTTGTTGTAGATCGAATTAAACTTGGTGCACTTCTTATTAAGTGTAGTCCACTTGCTACTAAGCATATCCTGATTGCGATATGCCTCCCCTTTGTTCAAAATTGTGAGAAATTTTACGATTGTGGCTTCCCAAAATCCACATATCCTCATATTGTTTCCCATAGTTGGATATTTTGATGTCCCACACCACGTCACCACCAATGTGTGTCGAGGTTCTTCGTCGTTTTTCGCAACTGTGACCGCTTTCCCTTTTTTCCCTCTCCCTCTAGGTTTCCGACTACCTCCCGCTTGTGTCTTGGCAACCATATTTTGCGTTTCTGGTGTGGGTGATAGTTGTGTGGTTGTTTGTGTGGGTGGTGGTTGTGTTCTTGTTTGTGGAATGTAAGCAAAAGTGTTGAAAAGGTTTTGTTGAAGATTTGGATTTGTTTGTGGAACGAAAAAGTTTCCAGAAAATGGTAGTTGTTGTGAGCTTTGCGAGTTGAGGAAGTTCACGCAGCCCTCGTATTGCGTGAAACCGAGCGGAATGGATGTGTTTGTGTGTGGAGGAGAAGTGTTCGAGTTTTGATCCATTGTTGGTTGAATGTGAATTTGGTTGAGTTGTGTGCAAAAAATAAAGTGAATAAGATGAGAAAAATAAAAGTATTGTGTAGGTAAAAACTAAAGTGAATATGTGTATTTATATGTGAGTAAAATTGAACTTTTTTATTTATTTTTTATTTTTACGTTTTGACCGTTCCTCAACGGTCTAAATTATGACCGTTTGCAAGTTTTTGAGCGTCCCGTTGCCACGATAACGGTTCATACCATAACGACTAATAACTCATGTCGGGGGAGGTGTTCAAGCCGTTATACAAGCTTTTTTTGGGTGCCAACTCGGAAAAACAGGCACCTGTTGACCATACCATACAGTCTAAGTAGAATTACAAACTAGTCATTAAATTAGTGATGTAGAATTACAAACTAATCATGGAATTGACGATACACGAAACTAAGGTGCTGTTTGTTTTTTCTGAGGCAAAATGTCTGCAGTCTGCGGATCACATCTGTAGACCTCTGCAGTAGAAGAGGTGGACCAAACGTCTGCAGTCTGAAAAAAGAAGACTGTTTGTTTTTTTTAACATCTACGGGCTACTAAAATAAACTGAAATCTAAATAAACTGATTTTTTCAAATTTCAAAGTGATTTTTTAATATTTTTATGACTTTGTTATAAATAATTAACGAATCTACATCAACTTTTATGTATTATTGTATAAAAAATAAAAATAAAAATGGTATGAATTAACGTATATATTTGATAAAAATCAACAACTTTGGTTGCAAAGTTATAACTAAACATTATAACTAGTGATCAAAGAATTTGATACACAACTGGATGGAAATAAACTTCAATTTTTTCAATTAAATCCATTAAAAACGTACCATAAATATTTTCTCGAGAAATTGATGATACTGTATTAAATAATGTTTTACAAAATTTGGCAAAAAAATGTAAGAATATATTATGATTTTTTTTCATATTTATATAAACAACTTCAACGACTATTATTGTAATAAATCTCTATTTATAAATTTGTCAAAAATATAATGTTTGTATCGTCGAACGTTTTTTTTTTAAGTTTTGTAATTTTTTTTTCAAATTGTTTATCATTAATAAAGTTGGAAAAAATATAAATTAAAAAAAAACTTAAAAAAAATAAAGATATATATGTTTTTTTTAGGCTAGAAGATGTCTGAAGATGTTAGAAGACTCTGATCCACATCTGCGCCAAGAAGAGGGCGCACAGACATTTTTAGGTCTGCAGTATTCAAAAAAACAAACAGTATGCGAAGGATAATGTCTGCGCGTGGTCTGCGCGGTGCAGACAGAAGAGGTCACGCAGATGTGCAGACAAAAAACAAACACCACCTAAATCTTAATAAATAAACTCAAACAAATCTTAATGATAAGCCGTCATATGGTTACACAAAAGTGTTTTCATGTTTAATAACACCTCGTTTATTCTTACACTAATACAATACAATACCATTATCTCTTTTATAAAGAGAACACAAAATTACATCGTCTTATATAATGTTCATACATACCATATAAATGGGTTCTCGGTATATTTTTTCTATTATCAAATCTTGAACGAAACTCCTCCTCTGAAAAGGCTTTTATATTAAATTCGGAATATTTTATATGTAAATTTAAAAATATACAAACAATTATTATATGATAATTCCATCGATTCAACATCTAACTCAATTAAATCCTTTAATGTTTATATTTCTTATCAAATATTTTACATTTTTAACTATGAACAAAAATAAAAACATATAAGAACCTGAAAAATATCATGAGAGCCATTGCCAAAACCAATATCTTTAGATAGTAATGAAGGTATTATAATTAGAAGATCTTGCCAACATCTTTCATTAGCCCCCGATTAGCATTATAAAAATCGGTAAACTCTTCTTTAGAAATGAATCCATCTCCATCAGTGTCAAGTTCATCCATCATAGTTTTGACCTCTTCGGCTGACACAGATCCAAGCGTCTTCAAAGATTCTCCAAGCTCGGCTGAAGAGATTTTACCGTCTCCATTGGCATCAAACTTGCCAAAGATCCTCTCGCACTCTGCCTTGTCGTCATCAGCCATTATTGTTTTCAAATAATGATAACAGGTAATGTCAGTTTTTGTTTACGTTTTCTTTATTTATTTTGCAATAGTTTTGCTTTGGGTTTGAATGATTAAACATGAAAATGTTTATAAAATGGTTGTTGATGAAAAAAGTATTATGGATGCCCTTTGAATACGGATTGCCGTATGTTTCTAAGGTAGAAAAGAACCTCTAATATTTTACTAAATAAGAGATAACTATGGGCCAAAAAACTAAACTGAAAATATTACCCTTAGTAGCTAAAGAAGGGACTAAATAAACTATCAATAGCAACCAATTAAAAAGAAGATAGACCTTTATTGTCGTAGTTGCATTTTTGATCTAAATTAAGAAATTTTGAAAGTCATGCTTTCTTTGATTGAATGTGTTGTTTTATGCATGCAACCAAGATATTGGAATACTTTCCCATACTATATCTAACACAAAAAGCTATGCATACTTGAACTAATTTCTTTAATAGACTTCATATGGAAAATCACATATAGTCTATATGACTATATGTAATTTAGCATATGAAATATATTAAAGAAATTAGTAAGCCTACATCAAGAAAAAGCTTTCTTGTGTTAGATATATTATGATTTATCTTTGCAATAGCTATAAAAACTACTAGAGATAACTATACCCTCCATAACTCTTACACTTTAATGTTGGGACATAATTTAATATAAATTTAATAGAAATAATCTATTTTATTTTCAAAATAACCAAAGGAACAGAACATTTTTGATTGACAAAAAAAACTTTTTCTTATCGAAAATATATTTATGATTGACATTCCAGATTCTAGACCAAAATTCTGGAGTTTGAAAAAAAAAACTCATGAATTTCACAAACAAGTCTGAAATCTAATTACCAATTCTGTTATTTCGAGAAAAAACTTCGTTTGATTGAAAAACAGTGATATTAGATACTTTAAAGTTCATATTCCGGACATAAGTATAAAAATTTATTTCAAAACAATTATGCAAGTAAAAAAAAATAATGCCGAAATTTCAAAACAAGTTCGGAATAGGGCATTTGAAAGAAAATATTTATTTTTTTAATAACCGAAAAAGATTATTATTTTTTTAATTTTTTTAAATGATGTTAGTTTAACAGATAACCTTTTAATATTTTATTTTTAATAAAATTAATTATGTAACAAAGTCATTAGTAGATATTATCCATGTTAGCCCCATGATGGAAGCCAAGTGGTTAATGAGTGAAATTATATACAAAAGGTCCATAGTTCAAAGTAACATTAGGACACCAAGAACATTGCTAGTCTTCCTCATTGACCTTTCATACATACAAGTCTTGCAAAAAATTGATGTGGACTCCTCGGATGATACAGTTTACAATTATTATTATTATTATTATTATGAAACGAATTGACGAGTCCATGTAGCACCTAGGTGGATCACTTGACTCATCTAATTTTTAAATTTTATTTACAACTAATCTATAAAAATCGCATATGAAGTACCTTAATTTTTTTAGCAATCTACCATAAATTGTTTGGTTTAAACATATAACACAAATCAAGAAATTAAAAGCCTATATTTTGTATTTCATTAGCCCAAAGTTGAATTAATTTAGCCCAATACATTTGAATTAGTTAAAAAGGAAAAGAATTAAAAAAAAAAAAAACAATCGTTGTTTCTTCCAATCTCGTCGGGTACAATTATAAGAACTTTAACTTTTTTTTTCTTATACGATCCGATCCGATCCGGACCACAACTAGTATTTTTGTTTTCATTTTATAGCAGTTTCATTTAAGCAGTAAACCATGTAATTATACTTTTTAGACTCTCCATTGATCAAATGCTTGAAAACAAGGTTCTATGTTTTTATCACACAATAAAAAAAGAATAGTTAACTCAACGAGGGATATTTACGCCAGGTAACCATATAAATATACTTGGAACATATATTTTTAAAAATTGAGAAATACCCATCATATTTAAAATACAATTTCGAAATAAAATCTTATTCCCATACATATTTTTCTTACATTTTGAAATGAAACTGAGATCTTTAAGTATATTAGTTTGAAAAAAAACATATTTAATTGCATGAAAAGTTTATTTTAATGCAATAACTCTTCGAACTGTCAACAATAAATCACTATAACATAATAGTTTTTAACTTATGTTATTGTTACATATGACACATGTGAATTTAATTGTAGGTTGGAGAGTGTGTTTATGTGTCATTCTATAAAAGATTCATGTATTTAATTTGTTATATCGATCTAAGATTTTGGTTGTGGTCTTAACCAAGCCGGTTTGTACCGGTCCAGTGCGTAGCTGCTTAACCCGTAAACTGTATTTGGGCGGTCCGATCATTTGTATTTGGGTTGGGTTTGTACATCCGCAAAAATGTGAAAAAAGATAGTAGGCCGAGTGTTGTGTTGCTAAAATTGTCATGATAATATTACTTATACTTTAACTTGAAGTAATTATATGTAAATATAAGTTATTATAGACCAACAAGTCATTTATTTAATATTCAATGCTGATCAACAATCTAAGAAAATTATTTCATTAATAATACATTTTCCTTTTCAATTAAAGGTTGGAGTTGAAAATGGAATTAAAAAAAGATATCAGGCTTACGTGTTTGTCGAATATTTATTGTTTTTCAAATTGTAGAACCGAAAAAAAATACATAGGTAAATAATCATATGTAATTTATTAAGTTACATATCGTATTTTTTTTCAATCATAACTCATTGGATATCAATGCTCAAGGGGATGTTTGATTTATCTTTTGAGAGACCAAAAGTTTTTTTTGGAAAAATTGCAAAAAGTTAGGTTTTCCTGACTTTTCCAAAGAGTTAGTTTTCCTTATATAAAAAAATCCAAAAGTAGCTTTTAAAATGCTTTTACCAAACATCTTTTACATTTTATCTTTTCATAAAAGGACTTTTGGCCTCTCAAAAATACCAAACACCCCCCAAATATGTGTAATCACGTTACTACCAATAGCTATGCTTATAGGCGGTAGAAGTGTGGACGGTTAATAACCATCGAAAATGATTTTGGGGCAACATTGATGGTTTTAGACTTAGGTAGTGTTGGTATGCCACATGACAAAACTAATGGTCCATTTGGTGGAATTGAATAATAAATAAATATGTTTGTTTATATAAGGGAATTGAATATGAGTTTTTAACTTAGTTTTTATGTTATGGAAAATAGCTTTTTTTCATTCCTTTATGGAATGAATTTCTTTTTTTCATTTTATTTATTTTATTATCTTCAGTAATATTAAGTCTAATTATTATTTTTTATGTTGCAAAAAACAACTATTTTTTTTTATAACTATATTTTAAAACTTCTTGGTATGTAGTTCTTTTATTTTGTAAATACTCTTTTAGATGATATATAATATTTTTAACTATTTGATATACATTTAACATATATTTTAATAAAATATAAGTTTTTGTAGGATTTTTTTAAAAAAAGAGATATATCTCTAGATAATTAAAGTAGTTTTCTTAAATAAATGTTTATGTCACAAAATATCAGCTGATATTAGACAAAACTACAAAAATGATCCCTGTGGTTTTAGTCCAAACCACTATCTTTTTTGGATTTGTGGTTCTTTTGGACTACTTTGTATGTGAAAACAGTCCATCTGAAAATTGAAATGACTATAATACCCTTGGGGTATTTATTTTTCATTTTTCTTTTATTATTTTAAAATTTAATATTTATTTTAACAATTAAAAAATAATAAAGGACCTCTCTCTCTCTCTCTCTCTCTCTCTCTCTCTCTCTCCCTCTCTCCTTGTAAAAGTCAAACTAGTATAGGAAGGTAACAACAAAACTTATTTCTTCCAAACAATGGTAGCATACAAGAATTCGTGAAAGTCTTTGTCATCTTCTTCTACTCAATCCCCGACTCCCTTTGACTGATAAAAAAACGGGTACTTCATTTACATCAGCTCATAGCCCAAGCCTCTTGATTTTGAAACACCACCACTGTTCCACCACTACTCCGCCATAGAACCACCGGTACCCAATGTGAATCACCACCGTTGGCCACCGTTTATCAACCAACAACCCCCCTTTTCCCTCTCCTGCTCCGACAATCAATCCTAACAGCAATAACACCAGTAGGCGACATTAGAGGAGGTAGAATCGAAATCAGAGACCGGTTCTCCTAATCCAAGACTTGATCAATCGAAAAGGAAAACGACAATAATGAGGTGGAGAATCGGAATTACAGGTTCGCAAGAGGTGACGGGGCTGGTCGGAGATGACCGACAGAAGCAGTAGCTGACGACGACAGTGGTTCACAGCAGCAGCTGCTCCGGCGGCTTCTGCTGCTTCGTTTTCTCCCTTGATCTTTACATAATTGGAGGGGCTGATTTATAGTCTCTCAAACATATGGGGGTAATCTGGTCGTCGTCTTCGTCACTGGCTCTGCGGTCTTGACCGGTTGTAAATAAGAGCGAAGGCAGAAATCGAGGGAGGTTCTTCGATCCTTGTCTGATCGAGAAGGGAGAAGCAAGAATGGAAAACAACAGCAGGTGGGGGTTTTCGTGGGATTTCTCAGGCAGGTCGCAAAGAGAGGAAGGAATCCGTTTTCCGATGATCCTCTTGGCCTTCCTTGACTCCGTCGTCGTCAGCTACAGATCGAAAGGAAGGATCGAAGGCAGATCAGTGACTCCAGAGGGTTTCATGGTGTCATGATTGACGGGAAATGGTAGAGGGTACAACCGATTTTCGGTGAGCCTCTTTTTGGGTCTACTTCCTCGATACACATACGAGTAGGGATTTTATTCGGGTCGGAACCGAACCGAACCGACCCGAACCCGAATAAACCGAAAACCGAATAAGGGTAATTGTATAAACCGAAACCGAACCAAATAAGCAATATGGGTTCGGTTCGGTTCGGGTATTATTCGGTTCGGTTCGGTTCTGACCCGAATAACCCAAATAACATGTACAAGATGATTAAGGAGCCGAATAACCCAAATAACCCT